TGGTCTTTCACGGTCTTTCCTTGGCCGCATATTTTTGGGCCAAAAAACAAGATTATGTTCAAGCGGCGACTCAAAGCCCCAAGGGAGGTAGCAGATGGGATCTTGATAAAGCATTAAAAGATACCAAGGAAAGAGTTTTCTATTTTCAGAAAAAGATTGAAGATTGGCAGGTTGTTTCAGATGTTAACTATCTGGCTTGGTCAAAGTTACTTGCAGCTCAAGTATCCGAAATGGAGAATGATCATGGAGGGGCACTGAGACATTACGAAGAAGCTTTGGATCATGCTTCTTCACATGAATTTGTCTTCGAGGAGGCTTTAGGGAATTTTCTACTTGCCGGCTTTCTCTTACGCGCCGGTTCGCGAAGGCCAGCAAAGGCGGCTTTGCAAGAAACAATCATGTTGTACCGGCAATTTGGAGCAGGAGGAATTGCCAGACATATTGAGATAGAACATAGCCTTCTTCTGCAAGGACCCACCCGCAGCCTTCGATATATGGAAACTAGCACGCAAACAGATTTTGCTGGCGATTCTGCACCCACACCATATCGTACTCTAGAAGGGGACGAGAATGACGAGCGGCAACGGGCTCATAGCAATGATTCTGAGACAAAAGGCGATAGAATTGGGGCCTGGCAAGGAGGCTCCGCGAGACCTGATGCTGGTTCTGGGCTTCCAGCTCTAGATATGCTGGATTTAACGTCCATTCTCGAAAGCTCGCAAGTCATCTCTAGTGTTCTCCAGGTAGATGAATTGCTCAAAACGATGTGCGAGATTATTCTGCAGAATTGTGGAGGTCTGGCGTCAGTCGCTGCAATCGTAGTTGAAGAAGAAGATCCTATTGGGTGGAGCATAGCCGCTAGTGGTGACCCAGAGAAAGGTGCTGTGGCTCACATACCTGGGCTGCCTCTGAGTGAAACGGCACTGGTTGCCGAAGGGGTCATTCTTTATTGCACTCGATTTCGCGAGACTGTATTCCTACCTGATCTCATTAATGATGAAAGGTTTAGTAATGTTAATCCTGCTTGGTCTGCCCGCAATCCCCTGGGAAAATCAGTCATTGCTATTCCGATATGCCACGGCATCAAACCATTACTTGGAGTTCTTTATTTGGAAGGCCAACCAAACGCTTTTACCGATAGAAATCTTACGGTCCTCCAATTGCTGGTCAATCAAATCGGCATCAGTTATTCCAATGCCTTGACCTTGAAAGAAGTAGAAAAGGTTTCGGCTTTCAATAATTCTATGGTCGATGTGCAGAGAAGAGCTTTAGCTAAAGCTTTGGAGGCTGAGACAAACGCTAATTTGGCAAAGGCGGAGGCACTTCGCAATGTCAAATTGGCCGAAGAAGCTGCTAAAGCCAAATCTATCTTCCTGGCAAACGTGAGTCACGAATTACGCACTCCATTGAATGGAGTCATTGGAAATTCAGAGCTTCTCCGTGATAGCGATCTTCGCAAGGAGCAAGCGGAGATGGCTGATTCGATCCGTGTTTCTGCGGATCTACTGCTCACTGTCATTAACGATATTCTAGACTTCTCTAAGATGGAAGCTGATAAGATGAAGCTTTTTATTGTAGCATTCAATGCTGATGAGATGATACGAGAAGTTGTCAGATCTGTTTCATATAGCAACAGAGACAAGAAGAGCTCTCGAAATGTGGAAATCATTCAAGATATAAATCTTCCGCAATCTCTGATTTATGGAGATCCGGTCAGACTCCACCAAGTTCTTGGTAATCTTATTGGAAATAGTTTGAAATTCACTGAGAATGGTTCTATCACTGTCGGTGCTAAAACGGATTGGGAAACCAAAGATGCCGTTAAGTTGACTTTTTGGGTCAAGGATACTGGAATTGGCATACCAAGACAGCAACTGCTCAAACTGTTCAAACCCTTCTCCCAAGCAGACAATTCTACAGCTCGTCGCTACGGTGGTTCTGGTCTCGGACTCAGTATCTGTAAGTCACTCATAGAATCGATGATGGGTGGACAAATAGAGCTTGAGAGTGTCGAAAACCAAGGCACGACTGTCTGGTTCTCTGTAACTTTCAATAAAGCCAATCCGGAAGTTTCTGCAGGAGATACTCAGTACGAACCTCCGCGTGAAGCTATTCAAAAACCCATTGAGGCCCCAGGAGTACAACCAGTTCCTACTGAATTCAACGATTTCTCTCATATAAGTCGAGACGCTTTGCGAATCTGTATTGCCGAGGATAATCCTATCAATCAAAAGATTGCTATCCAATTTATGCAAAAGTTGGGATTCAAAATTGTTGATGCTTACGACAATGGAATGGCAGCCGTGGAGGGCATTAGGCAAAAGGCTCGCGAAGGCAACCCATATCATATTGTTCTTATGGATGTACAAATGCCTGTTCTTGATGGATATGAAGCCACCAAGTTGTTACGCAAAGATTCAATTGATGCAGTCAGAGGCATTCTTGTCATTGCGATGACAGCATCTGCTATTCAAGGAGACAGGGAAAAGTGTTTGGCTTCTGGTATGAACGATTATCTGGCCAAACCTGTTCGATCGGGGATTTTGAAGAAGAAATTAGATCAATATCTTCAACAGGTAAGTCGCACAAAAGTCTTGGAGAGGGAAAATGCTAATATCACATAGGCCCCACTCTCCCTGCCAAACCTTAATGCAGATGCGAAAAAAGTGGCACGAGACATCCTTCAAGGGGCGAAAGATGACAAAACTACAAATGGTGCAAGGGCTCCTTCTCTCCCAAACGCAAAGGACACGTTTATAGATGAAAATGAGCGAAGTGCTTCCTCTTCACCTGCAAATCGAGCGCCACGGACAAATTTTGTTGAAAGTAGTTTTTCACCTTCACCTCCAAACCGATCGCCATCAGCATCACATTTATCTGGAGAAGCTACACCGACTCCTCTTCATCCATATGGAACGGCTAAAAATGAACCTCATCGATTATCTGTCACGCAAATGTATTTAGATGATCTCGATAAAACACCTACTGGAGAGGACCAAGGTCATCAATTGACTGATGGGGTTGATGGGATTCACGAGAATCGTGCTCTGAATGGGTTAGCGAAGGCCGCTAGGCCTGGTGATGAAGAGTTATCGCCTAGAAGTAAACCGACGGCATGAGAAGTCTTGACGGATAAACAAATCTCGTGTTGATGAAGATGGGTGAAGGAACTAATACAATTTGGTTGAGCCTATGTTCCATAGCAGATATTGGTTAAACGCGGATCTTAACGAAAGGTCGGTGCAAAACAAGGAAAACAAGCCAAAGTTGATACGAGAGAGGCGAGGAAGGCAAGGTCCATAAGAAGCGAAGAATTATTCATGTATGAGACGATCGTTACGAAGAAGGCAGTTCTTGTACAAAGCCGTGAGTTAAGATGTGGCAGCGGAGGATAAAGACGTGGAGACTTTAGATATCCCTTCGTGATACATTGTTTGGTTTTTGATTTATCAGACTTTTGGGTGTAGCGGTGGCGTTTTTGGGCATTGCGATTACAAGTTTTTGCATGGTGATTGATGCGGTGGATCAGAGGTGGGAAGAGGAAGGAAAGGAAAAAATTGGGTTGGAATGAGAATATGAATACGAATTTGATAGGATGGTTCGCTGGATGGATAGATTAGTGAATGGCGTGCTTGATGATTTGATAGGTTTGATGGGTCTTTTTGCGGGGGATAGAGTCGCAGAAGAGATGAGGAAGATAGGCGAGATGGGGACTAAGATGTCAATGGGTGAGAAAGTTGATGGTGAATTGGTTGGTTTGATCAATGAATGGTATATTAGTAGAATAGCATGAATGATACCAGGTTGGGAAATAGCACATATTCGTTGTAGACAATTGAAAAAGGAATTCCTGCAGTTGCTCCCGAGTACAATCGTTCTTTCATCTTTGGAAATTGATTGTGATTAGATAGTATTTAGATGGAGACAAACGGCATAGAGGACTTGACTTGTAAGCAGGCGAACTGATTTTCTTTCGATAGGGGATTTCGGCTCCTCGAGATCCTCTGCATCGGTACAGGTGTAATCTTACATGTGAATGAAGTGTTTAGAAAATATGATTTCGTTTAATCAGCCATGTTGCATTTTGTTTCGTTTGGTGGGTTGTGTGTACACATAGGTATCTGCATATACCTATATATATATATATATATATGATGGGAACTTGAAATTCGATCGATTGTCTTTGGTTGGGAAGGTTGATATTGGTTGATGGAAGTTGGTGGAGGGTTATAAGATTAGATGTTTGGTGGGTGATTGACGGGTATTGTTCTACATGATTATTGAATCGAGGAGGTGGAGAGTAAGAAGATGTGATGGTAAAAAAATCCTGAGATCGCTGATGCTGATGAAAGCATATTTGTGAGATTAGATTTGTTGATGTGTATCGGATAGGTATTGATAGAAATTGGAGAAGTGTTGTGGAATTTGATTATGACCGTTTCTCGATTGTTGGATGCGGAGGAAAGTGAATGGAGACAGAATGGGTGGGTAGTAGAAAAGAGAAATAGATGGAGATGCAAGCTTTTGGATGAAAAAACGGTAGGTTATTCGCGTGCTACTAGAAGGATAGAATGTTACTTTTGTGTCGTTGAAGCTGAGATCTTTTTACTCTTGTAATATCATTTAGATTCTAGCCTATTATGTTCAGAATTTATATATACTTTCTACGTTTCAATCATAGATTCTATTCTTGTAATAATAATTTCTCATTTTCAATTGTGAATTCTAGCTTTCAGGATTATAAATTCTAATCTTATAATACCTTCTACGGTAATAATCCCATACAGCAGCATTCCATGTATTGATACCTCGAATGTCAAAAATGCTATTAGATTCTTGCTACTATAGAACCTAAGTGACGCGAGAGTAGACTTAGGTCAATTTTAGCGTCATCAGAGTAATACATTGAAAAAAACCCCTATTGTTCGCTTCTGTAAGTAAAATTTCAAATCAATCGTCTAAATAAAATATATATACTACCCCAGACGTCTACTCTTCCATCAAGCCCCCACCTCTGCATAAATAGCCTTCTCAAACTCTTCAAACATCTCTATAATTTGCTTATCCGCAGTAGGTATCAACTGACTCCCATAGATTCCACTAACACCTGCTTCTCGATCAGCCCACCAAAGTAAATTTGGCAAACCGCACCAATACATTGCCCCTTTTCTTCTCCTCCCTTCCAGATCTTCCAGAAGTATCATTCCTCCTAATCCATGATTAAGTTTTGTATCGACTGGAACTGAGGGGGTTATTATATAGCGCATTTCCGGAATCTGACGTATGTAATTCAAAGTCGCCAATTGCGGCTCTGTCAATTGCGCTTCAAACATCTTATCATTCATCGCTTTGCTGAGAAGTTTCTCGTCTGAAATTGTGATACTGTGCAAGACCTTTTGGTAAGAGGGCATACTCATGTAAGCTCCTGCTCCGCCTACGTCGTCGATTTGGTCTGGTGACCAAAACCTGCCCTCGAAATGGACGAGCGCTCCAGTGGGATTGGCAGTCGTACCGAAGGGAGTCATGCCTCCGACGCGAAGGGTCGTATCAACCAATCGTGAAAGCAAAGCAGGCTTTTGATCGATGTGGAATGTGAAATCTGTGATGCCAAGGGGTGCGCATATGTATTTATGCATGTACTCTTCCAATGTCATGTTGTTGGCTCGTGAGATCATTAGACCGGCCCAATCAAGTCCAGCTATATTTGTGAGCATTTGTTAGCTTTTTCTGTCTTTTTTTTGCTTGTGAGATATGTAGATATGGAAGGAATAGAAACGCACAAGAATAGGCCCAAGAAGTTCCAGGTTCAAATGTCAATGGGGTTTTAAAACGTGATATCACGGTTCCTTTGTCAAGAGTGGCGACTTCACCGCGTGTAGCTCTCCAGCGAATCAGGTCAGGTGTGAAGAGATCGTATGCTAGTCCGGATGTATGGGTGAGAAGCATGCGGAGCGTGATGTTCTTCGTGGCCTTGACAAGTTTGGGCTTTTCCTCGGAATCAAAACCCTGGAGGATATCAAGATCCTCGAGTTTGAGCTCAGGGAGAAGTCGAGAAACATCTTCATCGAGAGTGAATTGGCCGCGCTCAACACATTGGAGAGCGGAAATTGAGGTTAAGTGTTTAGTGCAGGAGGCCAACCAAAGGATGGCATCTGGTTTCAAGGGTGTAGATGAGGTGGAGTGAAGAGAACGAGGTCCGTAGGATGAGGCGTGATTGAATGATCTTGTGGCATTGCTGGCAGCCGTGACGGCACCTGCAACTTTACCTGCAGAGATTGCAGACTCAATTTTGGAGTTGAATGAATCCATGATGAGGTGGGAGGAAGTGATTTTGCTCTGAATAGATAGCTTGTCAAAGTAGAAATGCAGGTAGATAGAAGAGTGTAGTCAGAATGATACCTGTGTTAGACAATATGATATCGAGGGGAGGAAGACTCCTTAAATAGTGATTGAAGACTAACTAGGTAGTTGTCGTTCTCTCAATCACATCTTGTGTGATTAGCAAACCAGTTTTGTGGCAGCATGCATCTCATCTAAGACCAACATTACCCACATGCGTTGTCCAGCGAGCTCGGATGATATGGTTCAGCATTGTCTCAAATTGCCGCTTCAGCCAAGGACAGTCCCAAGATTACTGGTATCCTAGCATCAATGAACATTACGCACAGAAAAATGAGAACCAAAGAACTGCTTCGAAATCACAAACTTGTGTTTACTACCCTTTGGGCCGATACTGTGTATTTTCCCCGTGATTTCATCTCTATCTCAGATCATTGCTGACCAACTCAGCGCACAAACATGTGGACATTATGCGATTCTCCACAAAGTACATAACAACCTACCGGAAGGTACTGGTAGGTCACCAAGGAGAGCCCCCGCAAAGATACGCAGAGTGGTGGGGGTATCTTGGCCCTAGGTAGCTTCTAAACTACGAGCGGGTTAAACTTAGAGCTGTTGATTAATTATCAGCTTAATAATATCTTGCTGGAGATCAAGATCATGTCCGCAGAAGGATATAATCGCGATAGTTTTTGAATGCATGTCCGGAAGGTTGGACCCACATTGCAGCGTCGGACATTTCTAAATTCCTTTTGTCCGTCCAGTTGGTTTATATAGAGTGCAACAGTTCTTGGGAAATCTGTTACGACTTTTCCTGTCTGGAAGGAGGATCCAAGGGTTTACTAGTGACCAATGAATATCCATGGATACTTCTGATATTCGCTTGTCATTAGATGGAAATTGGACAGCAATCCTGCACAAATGTATGGGATCTAAGCCCCGAGCAGGGGTGGAAAAACCACGAGAAACCACGAGCTCAAGTTATCTTTCCGCTGGAAACCAACTGTTGTTTCTAAATCGGTACTGGTATACCCGATTTCCAACTGAGATCATTGTAGATCCCCAGATCTAGCTTAGTGTAGGCCCTACATAAATCAGAATGATAGATGAAAGCTGTAGGCTTAGCGGGGTCCGCTTCATTGGAATGCTAGCTTTGCATGCCGCAAACTACGAGTGAACCAAAAATGGGATGCTTGTTTTTATTGACTGAAAGAAGTATGGTATTGAGTGAGACGGGTAAGGCTTATGGCCATTGCTTACAACTCTAGGATATAGGAAGCGCTGGTCTCAGTCATTTTTTGAGCGTGTGGCCACTGAGTAATTGTACATGAGACAACAGTATGTTGAACAATGCTTTGAACTAAGGAAGTGCCGTTTTCTGTAAGGAATAATCTACCAGCAATCAAACCTTTCAATTCAAGCTCCCTAAGCTTTAATGCTCGTTTGGAATGAAAGTTCTTGTGCATCGAGGATACTTCGCATAATAAGTCTAGCTCGATGAGTCAAGCTTCCAAATCCAGATGTACGGTAAAGTCTAAGAAACGACAATACCATATGTTTCATAAGGAAAATCTTCCAAGTTGGGAAGAAACTGGCCGCAACCGTCATCAACTTCACCCAATTGCTCTTCATTCCCAACCATCATACCCATTCTCCCAGCCAAAACTTTTTTCTCGTGTCCCTTATACTCTGCAAGTAATCCCTCATGAGGAACCCAAACAACCTTCATCCCAGCTCTCCTCCCCGCCTCTACACCCGGCACCGAATCCTCAAATACTAGACACTCCTCTGGTTGAATTGGCTTCTCGTTCTCCCCCAAACTTTCATTAATCAACCTCAAAGCCAACAAATAAATATCAGGTGCCGGCTTTCCCCTCCCCTTCTCTACTCTCGGATCATCTCCCAAGACCCTTCTCCCTTCTCCAAAAACCTCAAGTAACCTCCTAGTCTCTTCTTTACTAGTCTTTAATCCAAAGTTATATTTCTCACTACTCGTCGCCAACGCTATATGTACTTTATTCCCCTCAACATCACGTGCCGTACTCAAATCCTTGAGCAACTTTTCAACGCCAGGTAGGGGTTTACAGGAGGGAAAATGGAGCTTTTGTTGTTCGCGTTGCTCTAACGCGTACTGTTCTTTGGAAATAGGTAGTTGGGCCCAATCTATGAAGACGGAACTGGTGGATCCGCCGGGGACGCCCATGAGTTTGGCTTTGATAGACCAAGGGAGGGGAGGACGGTTGTATTTGGCGAGAACATGGTTGGCGCATAGGGTGTACATGTCCTCGGTGTTTATCAGGAGACCGTCCATGTCGAAGAGACATGCTCGGATGGGAGGGAATCTGGGATGATTAGTATGTTTCTTCGAGTTGGAAGAGCATAATCTCTGATGGAATTGGTGAATCATCTTCTTGGTTATATGTTCTTGACTAGAAGAATTCCTAGCTTACTCAGTTTTGACGCTCATGATTGGTATAGACTCTATAGCGTTTGTAGTATTGTAGAACGTGACACAGTAATCCTCTTATTGTTGTCTGCAGTTGCCAATCCGAAATCGGGTGAAAATTTTGCAAACCACCCTTGAGTCTTACTCTCTTTGCGAGTTGGATTTTTTCTGAGGTTATAAGGAATTCAGGATACTAAACTTTAGTAGTCCAGTAACATAAAAAAGATAGCCACTTGAAGGCAACAGATTCACTCAAATGGATGTACAAACATAGATATTTAAACCCAAGTACAAGCTCCAGGGGTCATTGTTCGGAGGAGCTTCGGGTAAATAGCGTCAATCTCTCACCATCGAAATTTTGTTTGTTTTGATCTGTCTATTCTTTTGACATCACAACCAAACCTGTGATATTTTGTTTTTACGTCAGTTCTACCCATTTGAAGAAGTTCATTCATGGTATCAAAGAGCTTTGTGTCTGCGAGAATCTAAGAATTCCGCTAGAGAATAATGGTATCTTTGAATGGATTGGGAGTATCAATCTCAGCTTTCTGTCGGATCAAGCAAAAGACCCAGCTAGAGATGAAGGTTCAGGTGTAAGTGCATCATTGTCCACTTTATGAAAACAGGAAGTTCTTATCAATTTTTGTATTTGTTTTTTATTTCTGATATCTAACTTTTTTCTGTGCTATAACTGCCTTCACTTCCCCTTCATTTCCAGGCACTACATTTCTATGCATCGAATGCTCTTGTTTCGAACACAGAGGAATGTTGTCCAAAAGAGCTTCCGGCCACTACGCCTGCCACAGTGCTGATTGCCTCTTCCACGATCAGAGCCTCCTCGATGTGGGTTGCCAGCACGCCCTGCATTTCGATCCTGGCTTGATACCAAAACGCCAAATCTGGTATCGGAAGATGAGCCTGGATGTGCTTCACCGACAACATCTGACTTGTTCGATGTTGAGTACATGGATAGCTATGAGCCCCAAGGCTTCCGTCGACAATCTCTCGACTTCTCAGACTTTGCATATGTAAGCGGTCATGTAAAGAAGCTCTCCAATTTCAGATGGCAGCGGAGAGCTTTCGTGGCTTTTGCCTTCGGCCACCCCGATTGTAAAACTTTAAGGAAAGAATTGTTGACCCAAGAAGGGCTTTGCTTGACCAGGCACTAGCATACTTGATTTTAGACCTGACTTTGTACAATTCAAATGAAATTCCAGTTCGTGATTTTCACCCTCTACAATGGCGAGTTCTTGAGCTGAGGTAGTGCAGCAAATACTTGACAGTACTGCCAATTGTGGCGACCAGTCGCATACTTGTAGTCAGCTTTACACTCTTGTACACAGGTCGGAGACTGGCAGCAAAAATTGTCGAATCGCTTCTCGGCAGCTCACAATGGAGATTTTTGAACGTGGCCCAGGTCTTATTTGCAACTCGACAGCAATCTGGGGAAAAAGTTCAAAATACGGCACATGCCATCACATGGCTTTCTCTGATCTTGCCAGATGCGCAATGTGCTTCCTATCACCTGACATTCCCGCTTGCGGTGTCTGAGCAGTTCCCGCTTTCAATTGTTAGCATTGGTGGACCGTTTGCATGAACTTGCTAACAAAGCTCTCCGGTGCGCAAGGTGGTTCGAAAGCCGTTTAAGACATCGACATCATCACGAATAAAGCCATTCTGGCGAATTCTAACTGATTGGATATCCTTAGTTGTTGCACCGATTGACTGCGAACAGAGAAATGTTGGCGAGCCCATTCTTCCATCGAGCAGACCCATTGGCGAGCTCGATGCTCGACTTTTGAAAGTGTGATTCAAAGGGCAGAGTCTCAAGACCCAAAAAAGTATTGGTAGCGATCGAAAGGAAAAGAAAAGCTTTGAGAGACCTTGATCCGTATCGATTTTGATTTTTTTTGACTTACGGGATAAGACATGTAAGCGGTCATATAAAGAGGTTTTGAGACTTAGTGTGGTGTGGTTCTCATTGAAAAACGACCTGGTGTAGGTCCAAGTGGGGTTGGTGGATGTACGTTGGCACCCAAGAGTCTCTGTGGGAGCTCGCTATGGGCTAGCGTAATCGTCGCCCAGTAAGCTCACCTTCGACTTTTCCTGGGCTGGAGCTTGCAACCAAGCCAGGGCAGGTAATCCAGGGCAAGTCTTCTTCCATGACCTGTATGCAGGTAAGATGTGTAAGCGGTCATGTAAAGAAGTCTTCGAGCAGAGAACATCTGTGAGGTGACATCGTTCAGTCCTGGTACAACAGGGTTGCAGCAGAACCAGCCATGGACAGATCGCTGCACATTGAATTCCATGGCGACTGACAGTATTTGTTATAGACCGTTGGATTTTTGAGAGTGTCTTCATGGCTACCAGATGATGGGGCACATCAATTTTGCCAAGATATGTGGCCCGCAATCACACCGCGGGTGATAGTATGCCAAATTGCGTTACTGAGAGGATATCAGTGAAGAACCAGCTAACTTCTTGGGAGCATTGATTCTTGGCCATTCTTTGCCTTGGTCTTCTCTTTTACCTAAGAATTATGAGCGACTGAATTATTGAAGTAGTATAGGGAGTCTTACATTGGTAACTTGAGTTTTCTGGATTTTATTTTGAGAAGCTGGAATGCCGATTATGTTCGCAAGACGTTTCGCACGAGCTTTTTATAGCTAGTATGATAGGAGGACTACGATAACCGAATCGTGAGTTGTTGAATGACAGAGGAGCTTCTAATCGAAGTTGCGATTGTGATCGACCGTTGAAAGTCGGAAGACCGAGAGGATTGGTGATAGAATTATCATCGCGCATAGTGATTGATGGAGTCATGACTCTCTTGTTCACTTTCGTCGCTCAAAGCCTCCGTGCAGCTACCGATGAAGAGTCCACCCTCTTTTCAAGAGTTTTGTCAGCGCTGATTGGCTTAGCTGTGAGTCACTCGTATACTGCTTAGATGTGCAGCAACACTGCTGTTGTATTGCTCTAATGTCTCAAGAGCCATGATATGCGTAAAGAAAAAACCAATATCTAGTCTCATTACAAACCAAAATCGAGTGTGCCTAGTCACTGCCAGTGCAGTTTTAGCTGTCTTCGTCGTGCTCACAGACGGTGAGTGAAAATAGGATATTATAACTCCGCCGATGATGTTTTTGAAGATGATCGGGGATAGAAACCTGGAGCTTTGTGTCATCCGAGGCCAGAACAGCGACCAATGGTAACAATCGCTTTGGTCTTCGACCCATTCCATGCTTATTGGGAGATTTGAACCTGTGATTTGATAATTTCCGTAGGATTCAATGTAGGTCAAGCTGACCACGAAAAATGAAGCGGCCTATATGCTTCGAAATGCAGATTGCAGAGGTATACCTGGGGATCTACCAGGAGTTGCTCCGGCCTGAGGGCTGTAGCTTTGCTAAGAGCCGTTGAAGACTGCTGAGGTGGGTGCTTTGTCATTGCCTCGCTGAAGGATCGTCAGTACGGAAAAATTTGAAGGATTGAGACAAACTCACATTGTTGAGGAGACGAGTCCTCGATCCAGGTCGTTGACTTGCTTACGGGATTCCAAACTCCACTCGTAATTGTGCAATCAAGGTGACACATCGAGCTTCCATTTGCAAGGGATGAACAATGCTTGGATGCAAAAGGTCAGTTCGTTGATTCCGGTCATCACTATACGTCCCTTCAAGTGGTTGGTTGTGGTAGTGAGCAGTTTCGGCAATGGCGGAGGCTTGCGAAGTAGCTGCTGTTTATCAAACTGTTGGGGGATCCTAATAGTAATTAGAACTCAGGAATGTGTTGGTAGTGCCGACCAAGGACCAGATGTAGTTTACTGACATTTCGGTCGTGTTGCAATTCTGTTGTTACTGAGGAGTTTGATGGCGTCATTGCTGCATGCTGTGAGATTTTTGAATGATCACATGTTGACGAGTTGAGTTTAAGTGAGCAAGGCCATACTCCTGGTATTGAGGAGTGGATAACTCATTACTGCGAGGTATTCAAAGACGTCTGCTCGATCTCTCTTGTGGTGGTCTGGAGAACGAGAAAGAATTGCATTTTGAGGAAAAAATGGTTAGTTACCATTCACATATTTTAAAATGGAATGCTGCAAGTGCCAACAGTACCAGCTTCACGAAAGGTAAAATCGAGAAGGCGCGCCGAAGCGGCTGCTGTAAACATAGTTTATTGATACAGAAACTAAAAAATACTGCTAATATATAATTCATTGCCACCCTCACTGGTCTCGGAGCCTTTCGTGCCTTTGCCTTCGTACTGTGCTATCTCAGATCAACATTGTCTAGCTCAGAGCTTTACTCGGTATTTATGCTAACAAGTACTTCAGACCAGTCTCCGTCACAATTGATTGCTTCTGGTCGTGCCAATATTCATTGCTGCCACTGCGCCTTGAGCGCAAGCCATTGCGAATCCAGAGTTGCCATGTTATTTTTTGGCTCATCCGTTCTGAATAAGTCCTGGTTCCTTTTGTCCAGTGATTTTCTACGCCGCTTTAGAAATCTCTGCCCGCTGGGGGACCGGCTTCAAACCTTGTCATCGGCAGCATCATGCGCTTGGCATATGCTTCAAGCTTGGTTGAAAGGTCATCGTTCTCTGTGTCAAGAATAAAAGACGCGAATCCAGTTTCTTCATCCTGCCTAGCAGGCAGCATCAAATAAGATTCTCTTTTCGGAGCTGAAAGCTCGCTTTATGCAGACAAATTAGTAAGTTTCTGCAGATTCAAGATTTATTAGACATACCTTTGCTCTGAAGTTGTCGAAAGATGGAGGGCTGACAGTCGAAAGGCAAGTATAAAGACTTCTTTTTATTTGGATTAAGAATCCAGGCACGTCCTCAAGAGACTTCCCGCTCTCTCTTCAGTTTTCGTGCCCTTAATTCCACCGCTACTATTTCCATTATATCTATCTCTCGCGCTACCTCTCAGTACCCAGCAACACAGCACAGCACAGCACCTGCAAGCTGATGTAAACAGGGCTGCGAGGTCTGCGGCGTATTAGGCTCGAAAGCGAAAGAGGTTGGGAAGCAAGGGCACTGCAGGCTTATATCCCGTTGTATGCCGCTTCATGTGGCCCACAGTATACTTTCGTCGCTGCAGCCGCGAAGAATGAATTAGATATTGTTGAACAGCAGGTTAGGAGGAGCAACAAACTTACGATCGTGGTTGATCAGAGCCGAGAAATTGCTGACACTCTCTGGACGACCAAGAGAAGGTGAAAGCCTCGTCATGGACGATCCACTCGTCTGAAACGTTGAGATAGCCGTTCAGAACGTTTGAGACCCATTCACGGTCAGGAACAGTGCATGTTGCGAATGGACTGGTTATTGTTGGGATGGTGAAGTAATTGGAGCTCCAGGCTCTGGGTGTTACCCAGAGTCTGGATCCCCGCTTCCAAAGCCGCATAGCTTGGCCCAATTGCTGGAAAGATCTCTTTTGGAGCTTGGGGGAGTAAGCACGTGTACAGCAAAGATCTTATGCTGGCAATGAAGAGAGAAAGCGGAGGCAGGGTACGTACATTTTAGAGCACGCAAAGCAACAAATATGGGGACCTTCTGGAATATCTGCAATACTTCTGTTAGTTGTTTGTTCTCAAGCCGAGATTTTCTGCTTACACTTACGTGGTAGCTTCTAGGTTTCACCGTTTGGATATATGTGCTGATGGCGTTCACCGGTGTAGGTGATATTTTCTAAAGCAAAGTTAGCATGGTTTCTGCAGTGAGCGGAAGAGAGAGAGATGGCCAAATATGTAAACAAAAACTTTGGAATACACTTCACTGAAGCCCTAGTATCAAGGCCAGATACAGAAGCAATGGACTTTGAACTTATCCAAGATATTGTAGCTGGGGTGTATGTGGTCCACTGGCGCTTTGAGAATACATTTGTGTCTCTATTGTATCTCCTGGACGAGATCGAAGAAGGGTGTTGATGACCTTTATGATGACCTGGACTGTCGCCATGGCGCACGAAAAACGAAAACAAATTCTAGCACTTACATTTGAAAACCATGAGGAAATTTTGAATCCATATCAATCACCCTCGATCTCTACGGAGTTAAATGCGTCGAGCAGGTTCTAGAGACCGAGGGCGATTTCCTCAAGTGAAGTTACTTTCAGCTTGTAAAGGCGCATGACCATGGCCCAGGTGCTGGAAAGAATGCTTCTATTTCGATCTGAAGTTAGAATAAAATTCGCTCAATCTATAAAAGAAGGCTTTGTTACGAATTGGGGATGGAGTAGTATTGATGGGAAGATCTTGGAAGGGGCAGAAATAGTCTTACCAAAGACTGTGACTTGACAATAAGTGTCTATGAAGAAGGAGGATGAGTTTGCTTTTGGAAGAGGAGAGTATTAGAAGCTCAAAGAAGATTCAATAAGTTGGTCTAAATCATTCCAGGAAAACTCTGTCTGAGCTAAGGATACCCTCGAGGGTATACAAGATTTATCCAGTGAGAGTCTTCGAATGGCCGACTAAGCAGAAATATTAGTTCCAAAATAATCCCACAAACTTCTAATTCTAATTAATTGTTTACTGAAGTTTAAAATCTCTTTACTTTCAAAGAATTGGCCTCTTGGCTTTCTCCTTAACTTCCATCTAGAAAAGCCAGCCCTGACTGGCGTTTTTCTTCCCCCTCTAAATACCTCCTCCCATCAACCCCAACTGAAAACTGCCTCCCACTGATTTTTTGTTCAAAGCGGCATATCAATAATTAACGAATGGTATTTTACTGCGGAGAACATTCCTTTACTGCAATTTCATCCTCTCATGTAAAGCTTCGAGATGTCTACCAAGATACATTGCGAGCTCGCCATAACCCGACTTTTATCAATACACTGGAAATGCCAGTGGTTATGGTATGAAATCAGCTCCAACTCTTTGCTTTCAATCACTGATTAAATAGTCGTCTTCTGAATCAGAACCGCGACATCTCTCTGTGTCCACTCAGTGATGATGCAATAGCAGTTGTTCGATTGTCGTAAGTAAGTAACATCAAACCTTCACTTCCTACATCAGTGAATCAAGTACAAACTTCAATTTTTGGATACCATGACTAATAGTAATCTTAGCAAGCAGATACACACCGGGCAGCGAACATCAACTTACGTCTGGAGCACCAAGTTCAAAGGCAATCAATACAAAGAAGTAATTTGGTGAATCACCACGTCGTCGTAATTGATGCGTTGGAACTACAAAGTTTGTTCTTCCCTTTCCATGTTCGGCATATCACTAATCATGAATAGTGATCCATCATACTACTACATTATCTGCTGTGAAACGTGGTACATACCTGTCAGAGTCCAGAATCAATTTTTTTTCGCACAAACACCATCAAGATGCAAATGATAGTGCGATTACCACTTTCCATGTGGTCTCACAACACATCTTCAATGTCTTTAACAACTACCGAACTCACCTCGCGACAGCTCTCGCAGGTGTGTGCTCTGCCTGCTGGTCCTCACAACACATCTTCAATGTTTTTAATATTTATCGAACTCACCTCGCCGACTGCTCTCGCAGGACTGGTGGCTGTGCTTTCTCTCTCAGGTTCCCAACGCCTTCATCCCAAAAGTTTCCATGATAGTCAACTTCACCTCGAGACAGCTCTCGCAGGTGTTTGCTCTGCCTGCTGGTCCTCAAAACACATCTTCAATGTCTTTAATAACTACCGAAATCACCTCGCGACAGCTCTCGCAGAGCTGGTGGCCCTTGTGTTCCTATTCGTCCAGGTTCCCAACGCCTTCATCAAGCTTCTAACATAGCGAGGATACCGCGGAAAAGCATTTCATCAACGGCGATGAGCGGCTATATAGCAAAGCAATGAAGCGAAGTTGCGAGCCTCGTCGACCTGCTCTCGCAGGACTGGTGACGGCTGTGCCTCCTTTGACCGAGGTTCCCAACGCCTTCATATGATTTTCTGGAGACCGCATACACCTCGTCGACTGCTCTCGCAGGACTGGTGCTGCTCTGTCTGCCATTCGATTCTAGTTCGTCTGTGTCGGTTTCTCTCACAGAAACCTCGCTGTGTCCTGTCTGCTATTCGATCTTAGTCCATTTGCGCCAACAACAGCAACATGGTTGTTCCTCGGGTTCTAAATGCAATAAACTCACTTCCTTCGTGAATCCAGCTGCAGAAAAACGCTCCCGCAATTGCCTTTTAATCGTTCGTAGAACTCTCAAACCACGATCTTCACCAACCGTTAAATCTTCAAAGAAGCGACAAAAACTTGTCGCCGAGCAATCCGCGTTTGTCAAGTCCGTCATCAGTTCTCCTGACTGCGTAGTATTCCGCAAGGATTTGCTCACAAATCACATGAAGCAATGTTTCTTTGGAACATGCTCGGACCCTTGATGAATGAGGCCGGAAGTGCCCAGGCGGATATTGTCCGGTCGCTTTCCAGTTTTCAAAGTCGGGACTCTGCTGGGGGATAAACTAGATGCTATGTTGGACATTGTCCAAGATCATGCTCTTCATTCTATCCTCTTTCAGCGCCGTACTGTAACTCTTGTTTGGTAGGAAACTCACAACTCCCGTTCTCCCATCAGAGCTGATATGCTCTCAATTATCATCTTCAATGTCTTTATAGTATGCTGTATCCAACAGCAACTTTCGTGTTGCGGTGCGGTTCCAGCGGGTACCCTGAGGAGAACGTCCGACAGAATCAATGTTGGCGGCTCCCCAGGGCCCATTGGTCCGTACCAGGCTATATTGCCGGGTCTCCATGAACCGTTCCGAGTCGATGGATTCCTCCACCTCGCACTTCATTCCTTCTCAGCCTACAATCCATAACAAGAGAGAAAAATCTCGTATCTTTCACTAGTCGAGAGAGAGTGTCAGGAGGGGAGATTAGAGGTGGGGAAGATGCCACTGGTGAAACAAGAGGGAAGAGATGAAGTACTGAGGAGAACGGCGAATGCGATCTCCAGGAAGCAAAACAGCCCAATTGCTAGGCTGTACATGCTCCCAATAAACGAGCGATCTGATGAAAATGAGGAGCGTGGCATTCCTTTGAATCACGATGACCACGACAATGAAGACCGTCCTCCACCTGACGTTGACGAGGAGTAGGAAGAAAAGTGCTCTGCTATTCACACCACAGAACTCTTCTGATCCTTGACTACACTCTATTTCTTTCTCATCACAGCAGACTCGCCGATCTACGTCATGTCACTTGCGATCAATTGTCTGTGCTGATCTCGGCTTGACCATCGATCGTTACTTCGGTGCAGCTTACTTCGAAGTCTTGAATCTCCAATCCAATTCAATCTTCAAGTCATCTTTCCGACTTTCTCGACAATAAATTCACGACACACATGATAGGTTGACTATTTTTCCCAATCCAGCTTTTAAAAACAAAGCACCTACCCCGGCAAACATTCCAGGATATGTATTTGCAGTCGGTTCGTCTTTCTAGTGGTCTCAAGCGAAGCTTCAACTCCTGTCACTGGGGAAAATTAGTAGAGCTCCCCAAGCCGGGAGAACCTGTGGAAGCCCCAGTCATTTCAGAGGCAGAGGTTTTCGTTCCTTTCCATTCTCGAGGAGAAAAGGGTCAAGAAAGAGAAAAAGAGACATACACAAGCGTAATCTTATACACAGTAGATTCGTCTGTTTAACGTCAAAGATTCCCCCGAATATCGAATGCAAGACTAATGTGGAGAAGAAAATTCGTCTTGGGGCGGAGGGGGGGAGAATTTTCGTATGAAATATGTTGTCTGTACTTTCTGGCTTTCATTTATATAGTAGAGAATGATGAATTTTATACCCTCATATGCTAGCATGATGTAGATTCAATAATGAATATTGTGCGAATCCCGTGAACTAGGTAGAAAATAGGAAGATGTGTACAGTAGACAAGTTAGTCAGTCTCAGTCAACGAAAGATATATTCTCGAAAAAAGAAAGAAAGAAAGAAAAATCTTCTACTCGGCCACCCTGTGATACACCTCAATATATCTCCCAAACCCGGTCAACATCCCTCATTCATAACACTTCGTGCACGTATTAAACAGTACATAATGTGTTTTACTCCCAAGTCCCCAGAACTCATACTCCTCCTCTTTAAACCCCCAACCCAATCACCACTCATCTCCTCATCTACTCAATCTAGACATACAAACCATTACATAAATCCTTCCTAAATCCTCCTCACCCATCACCACCCCCAACCCAAAAGCATCTTCATCCCACGCCCACCATCTACTTTCCATTCTCCATTCTCCATCCTCCATTCTCCATCCTCCATTCTCCATCCTCCATTCTCCATCCTCCATTCTCCATCCTCCATTCTCTCCTCTACATACCATCTCATCCCCATCTAATCTAATCTAATCTAATCTCATAACATGTTTCTTTCTACTTTCCACTTTCCCCTTTCCTCTTCCCATATTCCATTTTTCAACTTTTATTTCTTTTTTTCTTTTTTTCTTTCTTTCTTTTCACCATCAAGCTCACTCACTCACTCACTCACCCACCCACTCCCTCCTATTCACCTCAACTTACCATCTCACACACAACACATACAAGCATCTAATATCCCCCGAATCCACACCACATCTTCCACATCCCCATCCTCATCCCCATCCCCATCCCTATCCCTATCCCCATCCCTATCCCCATCCCCATCTCTATCCCCATCCCCATTCCCATTCCTATCCTCATCCCTATCCCTATCCCTATCCCCATTCCCATCTTTATCCTTATTCTTATCCCTATTCCTATTCCTATCTTTATTCCTATCCCTATTTCTATTCCTATTTTTATTCTTATCCTTATTCCTATTTCTATTCTTATTTTTATCCTTATTCCTATCTCTATCTCTATCCCCATCCCTATCCCCATCTTTATCCCCATCCCCATCCCCATTCCCATCCCCATTCCCAAAATTCAAATTTCAAAATCCCAGTATTTCTCACAACTCAAACCAATTAAAATTTCACCAAATCTCCAGCTTCTAGATATACTATTAAATTAAATTTGAGGTATATAGGTATCTATGTATAGAAATCATACGCTCGATATTTCAACTTTCATTTCGAGCAGGTGTGGAAGTAAGAGTATACCCACCCCACCCAATCCGTTTGTCCATATCTCAAAATGCAAAAAAGAACACAAATGCAAAAAAAGAAAAACATTAAGCTAGGTAAGCAGTGATTGACACTAGGTACCTAGCGAGAGTAGGTAGGTAGGTAGGTAGATACTTGTGTATCATCATCCCGTCTCATTTCCAGATCCACACCACAAACCCAAACCAGATATTTTGAGATCACATCAATATATAGGTACCTAGCTAGCTAGGTAGCTATAGCTCGCTGGTGAATATATGTATGTATGTATAAACAAACAAACAAACAGCTAATCCTACCCCTCGCTCTCTTTCCTCTATCTAACCTCATGATTGCGAAAAAATACCGCCGACCATATAGCTACCTAGTAGTGAACTCCTTATACATTTACTGAAAAATTCCTCCTATCCAAATCGAGCATTGCTAAATCCTGAACTGGCTGTTTCCAATTAAATAGCGAGAAGGATATCATGTTTGAATACTAAGTTCCTACGAACAACTTCTGTACTTGAGTACGGATTACGATGTGGGATGTTATTCCGATGGAATGTTTGTAGTAAGAGCTACCTAGGTACATGGTATCCAGACACTTGATTGAAATGTCGTTGTAATTAAACGAGTGGGAAGTAATTGGAGTCAACAGTCAGAGAATTTTCATATACCCAAGTAGTATGATCTATCCCGCAAGGCATGAGTAGTTAAGCTTTCGTCTCTTTTCCGTAGAGAAAGAAGGAGACTGGTATGATAGGTAATTTCATTCTGAAGAATCACTCGAATCAGGCGAAAAGAAAAGATGATGAAGACTGAATATGAAGGAATATAGTGCAAACATCAATCTCGGTTCTCAAAAATCAAAAAATCATCTCCAATTCCATCTCCATCTGCATCTGCATCTTCAACATTCACGCACCGTGTGAATATCTCCAACCCCAAATAATCTTTCCCAGATATCATGACCTAGGTATCATGACCTATCACGACCACACTCACTAATCAAAGCAAGCCCTCACACCGCCAGGACATACACACCAAACCACTCGGAATACTGCCCACTCGAAGCCATGCACCTTTCCGTCTCCGTACTGCAACGAGGTAGATAGAGAGATAGGTATTGGCTACACACACACCAGACGATGGACTCAACATCTTCGGGCCCATAACGACAAATCATCAGAGGAAAAAAAGCACTAGCGTGATCACCTCTGCAGGTACTGTACTACTCGTATGTAGGTATGTAGGTAGGTATGTAAGGCATCGAGTCTCGTCTCATCTCCACCGCTATTGGACGATTCATATTCCAACGTTCAAGTACCAGGTACTGTAGCTATCTACTTTTCGTTTGCCGAGTTCGGGGTTGTGTGATGGGATGGGATGTTGATTTGTGAATGTGATTCGACGGGTTTGCAATTTAAGGTTACCTACCTACCTGTCTATCTACCAACCGGGGATTTTAAGGTCCGAATTTGGGTTTCCGAAGCCCATGCATCTTCGTGTCTCGAGTCTTACAAGTTACAAGAGTTCCAGAGTTCTAACACACACATATTGTCGGTCTATGTATAGAGATCGAGAGGATAATTTATGGAAGTGCGGTAGGTCCTCTGTGTAGTGATTTGATTACCCGACTTGCCGAAGAAACGAGACACTGCGTAATGGGTGGGGGATGTGGTTTGCTCTATGGTTGAATTATATCTCTGGTTGTTTCAAGCATCGGAAAACTTCATCTACAAGAACAGCCAGCCAGCCAGCCAGCCAGCCAGCCAGACAGACAGACACGTGGAATCTGAATTCTAAAGGAAAGGAAAAGAAAAGAAAGACCGATTGAGAGTCCGAAGAAAGTGTGGTTCTCACAATCTAGACTCATCGTTACCATTTCCGGTGAAAATAATTTTCTCATTCGAGGTAAGGTACCCCTCGTTCCAAGAGTCGTTCGTGTTCTTCCGGATAACATGCTAATAAGTTCTAACATAACAAAACAACATGCTAACCGTTATTAATCGAGTCTTCTTGTGCAGTGCAGTGCAGTGCCAGTGCGTAATATGAGCGGTCAAGAAAGATAGAGGAATATCTTATCGATAAGGTTAAGCCGAGAATGAAATGATACACACTCACACTCCGGAGTATGTCGCGCTTTCACATGTGGTGTTGTGGAAACCCATGTATCATGAGTACGTCGTCACTCTTTTCCTGACGTGGATAGCATAGGATTGCATGTATGGAGATTTTTTGACATAGAGACGTTTGCTGGACTAAGTACTTCATGACACATACTCGTTTCTCTGTATTATCAGTTGTGATTTATGCGGGGGTTCTAACAACGAAATATAACAAATTGGAAGGAAGAATGCATGTATGATCTAGGTAACATATGCATCAAGATGGAAAGATTGAAAGGTTGTGCCAAATTCTACTAGTGATAATGTACTCTAATCTTACCTGTTTGTGTTTTTGGTTAGCAAAGATGTTGCCATGGATAGGTAGTTCCATATCGAAATGCTTTTCAAATTTCAATGGCCTCCTCTCTCCCCTTCAAGGTTAATCATCAAAACATGTGAAGACATCCACAACTTATTGCTTACAGCGTAGTGTATATTTTCTTCCCGTTCAGCCACAACGGGGAAGGAGGGGGAGAATGTTGAGGGATGGTTGCACATCAAGACGAAGTGCATTCAGTTTCTTCCTTTTGGGTGGATGATTGGGTATTAATATCACCTCATCAAGTTTTTGTTAGCGATGGAAACCCAATACCAATACATTTCTCTTCTCTGTACCCAATCTTTCCCCAACACAAACACAGTCATTTTCTTGGAGACTTGTGGAAACGAGAGGGAAAAGGGTGATGAATGGATGGATGATGGATGGTTTCTTACATACCTACCTAGGGAAGAATGTGAATGAAGCGGCTCAAGAAATCCGGATCAGGTTAGAGAGATAACATGTATGAATGAATGATAGGTCCGAATACATTGATTGATACATATAGCCATTCGCTACCTACCTGGGGATAGATCTGATGATAAAAATAGGCAAAAGGCACAAGTCTCTATTCTCTCGAGTGATTCGAGTCAGACCGAATATGGTTGCCATGCCTGGGTTATGTGATAGTATGTGATAGCTCTAACTTGATATCCATCTATCGGAATCGAAGGGGATAAATGTCAAATCCCAACCGATCTCGATGGGAGTTGTAACATCACATCACCTCCCATATCATGTCAAATGAATGCGTGGGGAAAGGTTTGTTGTGATTTCAGTTCAACGGTCTACTTGCTTTGTTTCGTATGCCACTCTGATTCGTAAATATAAATAGAGCAAGGTGACTTACTATGCAGGTAAATACTGGGAAAGATATGTAACCATACCAAGTTCACTAATGATCTCTTTGTATCGGTCTGGCTGGATGAAAAGGAAACGAAAGGGGGTGCGCTGTCAAAGTCAAAGTCAAAGTCAAATTTAATAATATGTCAATGACTACCTAGCTAGTCAGATAGCTAATGGCCTTTAATTTGATAGCTCGAGTGGATGATATGGATGATATGGATGATAGGTATGGATGGTTTGGATGGTTTGGATGAGTTGGATGAGTAATCTAAAGAGTAGAATGAACCAATCGGAGACGGATATCATTTCAATCCTATTCATCCCACCCCACCCCACCTTACAGCCAATATGGGAAAATTACCCCTCCATCATTGAAAAATCATTTGTGAGGGAGAGAGTTCGATATGATATGTATGTTAATTGTGAGCAGTGGATGAACAAATGAATGCATACGGTTGATTGACCTTTCAAAGTAGTCCCATAGCAAAGTAATCCCATAGCTACCTAGTTATTGTCATTTTGAATTCAAATACATACTTTCATATACGATATAATCTGAATGTTATGTTTTGTATATGATAAACTAACACTCAGACCTACTGCGCGGGTGAGTAAAGATGCAGCATAATAGTATATCGTTACATGATTTCCAAGGTTACTCTTTATATATGAATAGAAAGTATATACTCCATACTACATATGTACTTACATGACGCTCCGCTTGGCCACTGCCGTGGAGGCTTCTTCGCTTCGCTCTATTGGAGAGAGAAAAGGAAAGGGGAGGAGAGGACAGAAAAGAAGAAGCTTTCATGTGTGATGGATGATACATAGGTAGTAATTAACAATAGTATGTACTCTAAGCTAATTAGACCAAGAAACTTGTAACTTTCGAGTCCTATATGTTCTTATTTACTATTATAGATTCCCTCTTCTCACTCTATTGTATTTGTTAATCAAAGTATACAAGTCTACCTAGGTAGACAAAGTAAGACGAGAATAGCTGGTCACTTATTCTCACCTAGATACACCAATAGTATTCCCGATGGCCCACCGGTAGTATCATATTCTCTCCCATGCCTCATTCAAACTGGACCCTCCCTCTTCTAATTCGATATCAATACCAATATCAAAACGTCCACCGCTTCATAAATGCAGCAAGCAGACAGACTAGATAACTTTGCAGTAAGCATGCATAGGTACATACACATATATACACACATACATATATACATACACACATACACACATACATACATATACCTACCTACATACACAATATACGGTATGTAACAAACCTAGCTCGCCTAATCTGTATACACACATAATTCAGAATAAACCACCCAACAACCAAGTCATCTTTTACCGCATTGCGTTGGATCATTGAAAGATAGATGTATGTCCATTACCTATCATTCATCTATCCCTCGCCCATCCATCAGCCATCCGTCACCTATCACTTCACCATCTTTTGCATGAAGAGTGTCCTAGTCCCTGCACCAAATGCCCTAGTCCTAGTCCTTCCCGTACCTAGTCGTCTTATGTGATTAGTTCACACACACAACCTTACCCCTCCAAAAAATCAATCTAACCAGTAGTTTCCCGAGCGTCGCCGCATTTCGCATTTTTCGCATATTCCTATTAAAGATTTTTTGATTTTTTGATTTTTTTTTTTTTTCCTTTCGAGTTAAATCCAATTTCTTGCTTGGTACCTAGGTCCGTATTATTATTCTATTATACCCAACCAAAATACATCACGTACCATCCTCTTTTTTCCTTTTCCCTTTTTTTGCTTTCTCTCTTCTCTCTTCACCATGTCGACTTCCCCACAATCCCCAGAGTCAAATCAACCACTTCCCAACGCCCATCCTACTGAAGAAATCCACGATGCCTCCCAGAGACGAGAGTCCGAGTCCACCACCCGTTCCACCGAACTCTCCAGCGTCACCTTAAAATTACGCAAGGCCCTGCGAAACTTCCCCGACTTTCCCATCCCCGGCATCGATTTCGTCGATATCTTGCCGCTCTTTGCCAACCACGATCTTCACGAATCTTTAATCCGCGCCCTCGAATTGCAAGTCTTGTTGGTGGATGGAGGAAAGAAGCCAGATGTGGTTGTGGGTTTGGATGCCAGAGGATTCTTGTTTGGTCCCTCGCTGGCTTTGAGATTAGGGGCTGGATTTGCTCCCGTCAGAAAGAGAGGAAAGTTGCCGGGTCCAACGGAAGAGGCAAGCTTCGAGAAGGAGTATGGTCAGGATTACTTCCAAATTCAGAAGGATGCTATTAAACCAGGACAATCGGTTTTGGTTGTAGATGATATCATTGCTACTGGTAAGATTTATCTGATCGATCGATCAATCACTCATCCACAAGAATTTACGCAGGCTTGTGGAATGAGTGGTCTTGACGAACATAAATATGAATATATATACTAATATTTCATTCTAGGAGGAAGTGCCCAAGCTGCCGGAAAGCTTGTCCAACAAATCGGTGGACACTGTATGGGATATTTATTTATTTTGGAATTGGATTTCTTGAAAGGACGTGACAAACTTTCCGCTCCCGTCGCAACATTATTACGCGATTAAATACTCATCAGGGAGTGGGAATCAAAAGTCACGAAACATGTTGTTGGGCGTTGGTTGAGGGTACCAGGTATATTCATCACATAGACAGCATTGCATTATACATGACGAGGGGGATTGCTGGCACGAGGAGGTTAACCAGAGGGGGGAATGGTTTCTTTACGAAAGGGAGGACTTTTGCATACGAGTGCCGGATATCTTTATCTTGGGTTTGATACTCCATCAGCGGAGAGTGTTCAGCGGGCGGAGAGTGTTCAGCGAAGATAAGAGTAGGGATGTTGACTTTGGATCAAATAATATCTTGATATCGATTTGGATAATGTTTTGGATTTGGAATGGACGGATGGATGGATGAATGAATGAATGGGAACAGAACAAAACAGAAATATGGCCAAATCCAATGCGAAACTCATACATTCAATCCAAGTCATCTACCGTACCTTAGCATACAATATCATATATATCATCTATGAGCATCTATCATTCTATACATTCACGTATTCACAAGTGTATATTTTCAGACACCTATGAATATATCATGACCTCTTCTTATTCTTCCCTTTCCCATTCCTCTGATCCCGTCATGTCTTCTCTGCCACCCACCTAGTATATCTACACAGTCTCGCCGTGCCATCCCATCCACCCCTCGAAAGATGTAATCTTACAAGATGCCACCACCGAACCCACAACATTAACACACAAGACAACACACACACAACCCACACAAATCACGTACCCCATCCTTCTCATCCCAATTTCCCAATCTTCTCAAAAATCCATTTTGTCAAAAAGAATTCATGTAATCACATCATATCACCAGGCTTCATCCCACTTCACATTTCTCTCACGGTTCACCCCTCCAAAATCCCACTTTTTTTCTTCATTTTGTCTAGTAAGGTTATTACTTCGTAGCTGGAGACTCAAAAGTAAGCTCAAGCCATCCATCCACCCACCCATCCACCCATCAATCAATCAAATCAATGCATCCATCCATCAAGCAAGCTCTCACCGATAAGGAAATCCAACCCAAATAAACTTCACCCTAAAGAATTTCCCTACATGCCGACGGAGCACCCTCGAGATACTCGAATCCCAGCTTGATTGTGATTGGGCAGGGCAGATGGCGCACCCTTCCTTGGTAAATAAACAAATCAAATAAATAATCCACCCCGGCTGCGGCGCCAGCCTTGTTGAAATAATTTCTTTCTTTCGGTGAGGAGGGTGAGTGAAGATGGAGAGAGGAGTGGGAGAAGAACTTTACGGAGCACTTTCACTCCCTCCATCTAATTAATAAGGTTCCGTTATATATTACCACCTTGAGAAAATATTTCTCTCCATACGTTTATTTCGGTTTTGGTCTGCAATCTGCGATTTGTGTCTAAGATCAAGGGTATATACATATATACATACATAAATTTCAAATTTCAAGAACTTTTCTCTGCGCATACATAAAGGTTCTCTGCTTCCTTTTGGCTTGGTTTGTATTGTTTGTTTGCTTGTTTGTTTGTATTGTTTCTTTCCTATCGTATACGAAAGTCGGATTCGGATTCGATAATACAATATACAGTTACGATTACCGTCTCAATTGTAACTTCTCACGATACACACACATACACATACATACATCCATATACATACAACACACCGATACAAACTTCATCAATCCACTCTTGCATTCAGGAGGATCGATTTCGGATCTCGATAGACCGACTTTCCTTCCGATCCAACACATCCAGTCTGATTCATCCGATCCTGATACCCTACCCATCTCATGGAATAACCTGCAAGAAAGAAAGAAAGAAATGCCTTCCTTCTTCACCTTCGACCAGGGACGCGACCGCTTCCAAACCGAATCTTCTCCCCTGCTGGGTCGCTTCCGCGCAGTGCCCAATGCGTATACCACGAATGGGCGCACGCGCAGGAAATCTCTCTTAGGGTTTTCGATCGATGGGTTTGGCGGCGCGTTTGGAGGCAGAGATGAGGGGGATGAGGGAGGAGTGGATGGATATTATTGTGATGGGGATGAGGAGGAGGAGGGGGGTGTGTATGGGTGGAGAGGGAGGGTGAGGAAGTGGGGAGGAGAGTTTAGGGATACGTGGATAGAGCCGAAGCAGAGGAGTGTGGCGGGGTGTGTAGAGAGGTGGTGGTGGAGGTGGGGGGTTTTGGTTGGGGCGCCGAGTGCTTTGGTGAGTGAGATGGAGGGGGTTTCTTTGGTTTTTTGGGTTTAGAGACTGGAATAAGGATGTATATGCGGTGGAGATTGAAGGGATAAACTTTTGGTTTATGAGAGGATCTTTATGGGCGCAAGATTTGATGGATGAGGCAATGCTTCTAGGCCAATGTTCTTACGGTTCTTGATATCCCATCTTCTAATTTTCTACCTATGCTGTAGTGGCTTGGGTCGGTAAAGAAAGATGATGATACAATGAGTGGGAATTCCTCAATGTCAAAGATTCTCTGCTTCTTGTTATCCCGCACTATACTATTCTTCATCAAAGCCAATGTCTTTGTTGGGTAAATGATTATGGGGGCTAGCCCCCAAACCCCCATAGCTCGCTGCGCTCGAAAGTTTCCTTATAATATGCTAGTCGGCCTCCACGGCAGTGGCCCCCGGAGGGCCAGCGGAGCGTCACTCAATGTCATGCGGAAAAGCTGTCATGTTTTATTTGTGTATTTCTTAAAAAGTTACGAATGTACAGATATATTGAAGAGCTTTACTAATCATTCGAGAATACTAGGCTGTTGCATGGTGTGCGCTACCATTTCCACAATACGAATTTCCAGATGACGACAACATAGTGGATTCACCATTAGCCATCTTTGGACACAAGATACCAGGTCACGGAGAAGCTAGAGTTGAGATTAACTTTTGGTTCTTTCTATTCGTATATTATGGTTTCTATAATATAACAGCATTAATGTGGATTACGAAAGTCTTCAACATTTATTCGCTGAATTGGTATGTTTCAGCTTCTTGGAGTTGATCTGTGTATAAACTAACATATACTAGGTGGCCTAAAAGTCTTGGGTTTCCCCTCACAGTCTCTATTATTGCCGCAATGTCAATAGCAGCTCCAATACCTTTTTATTGTATACCCGAACTTCGATACATCACATCACATAATACAGCGTGGATATGCTGGACATTCTTCGCCATGGCAATGCCATTATTAGTTGCATTTGCTATCCTCCTTAATCATGAAAGACATCTCGGTTTACGTAATCCTCTTTCGGAAACTCAACGACTTTTTACTTCTTCATGGTGGACAGGTGATAGCGATACAATTAATGCAAGAGATCGACCACGAAGAGCAAATGTTATTCGAAGTCACAGTACTTTTGATCCAAATACTTCTCTAGAGGTGGCTTTAGCATCAGATGATATTTATCGATCAAGAGATGCTCAACTTATGTTGAGAAAACGTTGGTTGCCAGCAAGTTTTGTGAGATTTATGTGGTTTTGCTCGGCTCTACTAATAGCTATATTGACTTACCTACTGGGAGAAACTTATGCAGAGATATATTTGCGAACACTACCACATAGCACGATTGAAACGCTTGTATATGTTTATAGTTGGGTTGTGACGGTTCATCTATTGGATGGATTATGTGGGTGGATTTTAGGGGGTAACGAGGGAGAAAGAGTAGACAGTTACCCCCTTGGTTGGATTTTTAAACTGTAAGATTCCTAATCCTTATATTTCCTCGGAAAATTACTAACATGACCTCTAAGCTACTTCGCTCTCACCTACCAAACTTACGTCCGCGCTTTATATGCTCGTCTTCGATCACCACAACAATTCATCTATCTCCAAATAATGTCCTCTTCATTCTTGATTCTCCTCGCCCCACTTACAATCTCTGCACCCTTTCATTCGTTCCTCGCACTTCTCGGATTGAATGGTCAATCATATACCGCATATCAAAAATTCTGCACTCGAAACATCTTCCTCCGCGGCTTGACCGAAAACGTCTCAATGCTTACTTTCCTAGGAAGTATCTTAGTCCTCCACTACGGCGCTAATAAAGACGTTTACCCCTACTTCGCTTTCGATACTCCAATCTCTCCACCAACAAACCAAACCCTCTCTTCTATCACCCACAAATTCTTCCCTTCCATCCCACACCTTCCTCATCATCTCCCCGCCTCGGACTCCCCTCCATTAAACGCACCCCCGCAATACGATTTCCGCCTCACGTTCTACGCGTCGGTTGTGACGTGGGGATGTGAAATTGTCGCGGGCTGGATCACGAGGAGAATTCTCTGGTGGGGATGGAAAATTAATGTGACGGCGGAGGGGAAGCGAGATTTGGCCGCGTGGCCGGAATTGTTGCCGACGGGTGTGGTGGTTATGGTGCATGTGTTGCAGAATATGCTGTTTAGTATTGTGAGGTTGGAGTTTCATTAGGGGGTGGGGGTGTAGGAGAGTAGGGGAGGGGAGGAGAGAGGAGGAGAGAGGAGAGGAGAAGTCGTTGGATATGATTATGAATGATTATAATGAATGAATGAATGGATGCATTTTCGTTTTATGGTGTTTGAGCAGGGTGTTGGTTGGATTGTTTGCTTTATTTGTTTCTTATTGTTTTTGTTTGTTGTTTTTTGGTCTTTTTTTTTCGGGGTTTTTTTTTCTTTTTTTTCTTTCTTTCTTTCTTGCTCTAATTGACATACCCTCCTCGAAGGGCATTGCATTGCATTGCATTGCATTGCGTCATATCTCTCTCTTTTGAAAATAAAATTCTCGTTTCTCGTTTCGCGTTCCGAGATACCACTTACTTATTCGTACATAGTTTAGTTTAGTATTGGTTAGATTAGATTAGATTAGTTTAATACATGATGAAGAAATGAAGGAATGAATGGAGAGATAAATGGTGGAATGATGGAAATATGGAATGATGGAAATAAATGTTATTGTGCATGGGAAATTCGAAAGGAGAAATTAGAGATTAGAGAGGTTGTTTTGTTTTGTTTTGGGGAGGATGGATGGAGGATGGAGGAGGGAGGAAGGGATGGATGGATGGAGGGGGAAAGAGTGGAGGGATGGAGGAGGAATGGACAATTTTAGGAGGGATGGAGAAGATGAGGGAGAGGAAGAGGAAGAGAGAGGGAGAGTGAAAGCAAAGGGGATGGGATGAAAGGAGGAAAGG